GATCCGATGAAATAGCTGTTGGAATCTGCAATGGGAAAGAGTCCAGTGATTTACCGCCGTCTTATACTCTGCTTTATATGGGTGGTCTGAGTTTATGAACGGGCTCAAGTTTTTTTATGAAATGTGCAGGAAACTTCTGCTTTCTTAATTTGTTGCCTTCTATTTGCAAGCAGTTCATTTGGCTTTAATGATTCGTTTGTGAATTGAAGTGAGCAATTGAACGAGATAGCCAGTAAATTAAATAACTCACTGACGGAGAGGAAACAAATTAATAACTTAACATACACTTAATAGACTTCATTAAACATGCATATATGGACATCACCTATATGCTATATAAGTGCAGGTTAACTATGCTTATACACTAACCGGCCACTTTATTAGGTACACCTTACTAGTACCGGGTTGCCTTCAGAGCTGTCTTGATCCTTCATGGCATGGATTTAACAAGCTACTGGAAATATTCCTCCGAGATTTTTCTCCATATTGACATGATAGCATCACACAGTTGCTGCAGATTTACATATGATGCTAATCTCCTGTTCCACTACATCCCAAAGGTGCTCTATTGGATTGAGATCTGGTGACTGTGGAGATGGCACCAACCACCATGCCTCGTTCAGTCACTTAAATGCCCTTTCTACCCCATTCTGGTGCTCAATTTGAACTGCAGCAGATCGCCTTGATTATGTCCACATGCCTAAATGCATAGAGTTGCTGCCATGTGATTGGCTGATTAGAAGTTTGCGTCAACAAGCAGTTGGACAGGTGTACCTAATAAAGTGGCCGATGAGTGTATATAATAGCTTTACCTGTTAATATCTATTAGTTACTAGTTATTTAATTTAAGTTATTGGTAACTGATAAAGTTGTGGTGACTTATAACTTTAAATTTTCTGATTTTGGTTGTAATATAGTAATGTGCACCTTTTGAAACAATAATTGTGAAAAGCACTATACAAATCAACTTGAATTGAATTGAGCCGATTTTCTTAGCTCCTCTCTTTTTAACCAATGCTAGGTGTAGAGACAAATTAAATAAGTAAAAATTAGTGTAAAGATGAACGTTCTGTCATGATTTACTCATTTACCTTCAAGTGTACTAAGCCTACTTGCCTTTCTAACTTCTGTCGAACACAAAGGATGATTATTTGAAGAATGTTAAAAACTGGTGCCAAGCCCTGCACTTGCAAAACCAGTTAGAATCTGAAATAAAAGTAATAATTTTCCATCCGTCTAATGTAACTAGAGAAGAGTCAAGCTTAAAATAAGAAAATTATTGAAACGTTTTGATAATTTTTTAATGAGATGCTAATGGTCTAATCCGATTTAATGATCTAAGCTAAGCTAAGCTAAAAGTGCTCCCACCAGACCCAGAGATAATCTCAATGGATTAAAAAAGGGTGAATTTCAAGCCTGTTTTATAAATAGTTTTGTTTTGTTTCTTTTATAAGTGGGGTTTTCCTTTAACAAAGTTTGTATGGAGTCTGATCAGTCTCATAAATAATACTGTAATGAAGATTACAGCTCCGGAGAACGGAGACTGCCATCTTTACCAAACTGAGAACAAAAGTAAAACAATATGTCCGGGCCTGGTCCTCTCTCGGCCTCCTCTGCCATCGTTCCTCTTCTTATAGTCCAGAGCACCTTCCGTGGGATTCGAGGCCGGTGTGCGCCACAGGTGTCTCCACTTTCGCGGCGGCCTCATTCCGTTCCCACGGCTCTCGGCCCCGTCCCCTCGCCAATATATAATCCATACATCCACAACACAATTCACATTTACAAAGTGCAAATCACAAATTCAAAGCGAAATTATTTGGCGAAAATATTTAGGATTTTTACTTGTGAATTCACGAATTGTGTATTAAATGGTGTATTTATGTTTTGAATATACAATTTGAATTTTGTAAATGTGAATTGTGATGTGTGTGTAATAACTTTATTTTGTGAATGTATTATTTTTGAGACTGATCTGGCTCCGTTAGCTTGTTTTAACATGCATTTTAAGAATATGAATAATAGTGGACGCTCCCCAAATCACTTTCAAATCAATATGTCACAGATCAATAGGTATAGTGTGGATAAAGTAGTCCACAGCAGGCTATCAAATGCATTAAAGGAGACCTATTAAGTCCCTTTATTTTACAAGATGTAAAATAGGTCTCTGATGAGTGTGTGTGTGAAGTTTCAGCTCAAAATAGCACGCAAATAATGTTTTCTAACTCTCTTAAACGGCCCCTTTTAGACTTGTGGTGTTTTGGTGACTGTCGCTTTAAATTCAAATGAGATTTTCAAAAGAGGGCGGAGCTACAGATGCCTGTGTGCCAGCATAGAGGCAGAATTAAACAACAGGACTAATATCCTATGCTAATAAGAGAGAGATAATCACTAGTGGGCGGGGCTTTCCTCCTCTTGTGACATCATACAAAGGGAGAATGTCAATCAAAGTGTTTGTGCAGACTGTTTCTATCAAGTCTGATTATAAACAATATAATTAATCAATTTTTATCATTAGAAGCGCAATATATTCACACTCTGCTGTGTCTAAACTTCATATAAAAGTGATTCCTGCATAATAGCTCCTCTTTAATAATCAAAATCCTGTGATTTTTCAGCTCCTGGGTGTTCGGTGCTTTTGCGCTGCTCTGTCTGCTTTGTCTGACGTGGTCTTTCGGCTTGCTGTTCCTGAACGACTCCTCGGTGATCATGGCGTATCTCTTCAGCATCTTCAACACGCTACAAGGGATGTTCATCTTCGTTTTCCACTGCCTCCTGCAGAAGAAGGTAAACCACAGCGCTTTCTTCATGCTGCTGAATGTGTTTATTGACATGTATACTGCATTTAATTAAACTTTGGACACACAGTACTGAGCAGAAAGGGTCAAGGTTGTTTTCTTAAAAGCTTTGCTGATGGAAATATATCAATAAAAGAGCATATAGATAACCTTTGAGACCCTTTCAGGACATTCACAATGCAAAAAAGCTCAATGAATTGTGGGTAAATGTGAACGTTTCACACTGAGAGCCAATCGAACGTCCGTCAGGTTAATGGAAACGAAAAGTCACACGAGCCAGACTCAACTTTCACCTTTTAAAGCGTGTTTATTTGGTTGAGTTTTAGATGTGAATGAAGACGCTTGTGAGTTAAATGAGATTAAACCCATAAACTGTGTTTGTATTATACGGCGTGTATCGCGCTTCCCTCTGGGTTTTTAATTCATTTCAAGGAATATTAAATCCTGTTTTGCGCTAATGAGAAAAGCGGCAACATCTGTCTGCTGTCTGCATTTATGCAGCACATATGCTGTGTTTCACTATAAGTTCAATCCAGTTCTTTAAAGGGCCATGAAAGCCCCTCGTTTCAGCAGGGTGTTTTCACACCTCTACTTTGGAAAAAGTCAGAAAAGTGGGCGTGTCCAGCTCTGTTTAGGGGGGAGTGTCGGAGGAAGAAAAGTGGGAGGGTGTGGGAGTGTCTATTTGGGCACGCGCGAGTTTCAGAGTCAAAATACACACACACACACACACACACACACACACACATACAGGAGAAAGTGATGGTGTTTAACCTACATGGACATCTGTAGTCGAATTATTTGCCAAATTATTAAATGGTGGACTTTAACTGCAGTTTGGCTCTTTCATTCAGGGAATTCATTCATGTACCTCGCGACAAACGAGATATTTGATTCGAGGAACTGCTCTAAGCGTGTATTTTTCATGCAATGTTTGATACCGCATGGCGAATGAGAGAAAAATAACCTCAGCATTTCCCGGAAACTTAGATGCACACGACAGGTAGCGTCAGAAAGCCGCGCGTGTTATTCCGGTCACTAAATGCGGTAAAAACCCTACACGAGGTTGAAGTTTGGTTGTGGTGCTAACATGTTTACACTCTGTGCAATAGTTTGTTAGATACGAACAAACTGAATAAACAAAGAGCGCTGCTCACTCACTTACCAAATCTGTAGAGACAGGACAATCACCAGCAACTAGAGCCGCGTCTTTATAAAGAGAAGACTACAAGCGAATCCGGATCTCAGCATCTGCAGATGAGAACAGCTCTCAGGTAAACAATAATCCTCTTTAGACACGTAAGTTATTGTTGTCGAGCGTCGCGTACACTGTTAATCCACACGTTACTCCAGCTGAGCTCTCACAGAGAGAAAAAGAAAACAAAACTTCACTGCAGCAAACTATAAAAGCAACACTTCACGCTTGTTTTGCCAACACAACGTGGCGTCTCTGTCGTCTAAACACCGTGACAGTAATAAATATTAATGAAGTTGCACAATAGAGCGCGCTGATTGGTTTGAACCAAGCCTTACTCATGCATTAATGCAGCACACTGTAAGACGTAATAAGACTCACTCTGGCACAGGCGTCCAGTCTGCACGCTGGAATACACGCTATTATCTCATGACCGTGACGCAGCTTCAAAAATTCGTTTCAAACCGGAAGTATGAATTTGCTTGAAATAACGCAAAAACAACCAATTTACACTTTTTAGTGAAATATAGGTGTCCTAATAGTGTTTTTAGCAGTGTGGGACACATATACCACTGTCAACAGCTCAAACACATGTGTTTTGGTGTTTCGTGACCCTTTAACAAAGCTTTGTTTTATTATTACACACTCGCCGGCCACTTTATTAGGTACACCTTACAAGTAACCGGTTGCCTTCAGAACCGCCTTAATCCTTCGTGGCGTAGATTCAACAAGGTAAACAGGGGTAAACAAAGAAAACACGCAGATTCAGCTTGGCTTCGCTTTCACCGTAATTCAAGAAACATTTCATGTCATGTCCAGAAACAATCTCTATCTCCAGAAGCAAGATATTGTGGGTGCTTGAGGCTCATTTGTACTATTCTTAGTCTCGTGGAAATCCAAGCACAGCGTTTCAAACATTTTCACAATATAAAACTACATAGATAACACAATTTAGAAAGATATATATATAGTTAATATGTGTCTGGTTTGACTGTGTGTCTTTTATACTTTCCTGTGTGGTAAATATCTGCTTTTGTGTGTGTTTGCAGGTGCGTAAAGAGTACAGCAAGTGTTTCCGTCAGTCTCAGTGCTGCAGAACTCATCCATCTGAAGGACCTCACAGCGTCAACAAATCCTCCGCCTCCAGATCCACCGCTCGATATTCATCTGCCACGCAGGTACATCTGCAACCCTATACATCTGACTAGTCCAGACAAACAAATAAACAAATCAGCTACTATAACCTAGGCATTTCTGTGTGGAGTTGGCATGTTCTCCTCGTGTTGGCGTGGGTTTCCTCCGGGGTGTTCCCACATTAGTCCAAACACATGCGCTGTAGGGGAATAGATGATCTTAATTGGCTGTAGTGTGTTAGTTTTTGTGTGTGAATGAGTGTGTATGGGTGTTTCCCAGTGCTGGGAGGGCATCCGCTGCGTGAAACATATGCTGGAATAGTTGGCGGTTCACTCCGCTGTGGCGATCCCTGATAAATAAGAGAGCTGGAGCTTGTCCTGCATTGAAATCCTCTCATCTGAACCCTAAATGTTTCCGGAAGCGTCTGTACTGGGAGAGTTTTGCACAAGAGCGTTGTTTTGGCTGCTCTTGAGTTGTGATTGTAATTATTGTGCGGAATCTTAAGCAGCAGCAGATAATTAAAGTTGTTTACCAGACATTTAGCATCAGTCTTTATTCCACACGCGCCGCTAATAGAGCCTCCAACACCGACACTACAAAGCTGCTTCATGAACATGATCAGTGTTAATCAGTGTGTGTGTGTGTGTGTGTGTGTGTGTGTGTGTTTACGCGTGTGTGTATGTGTGTGTACGCGTGTGTGTGTGTGTGCGTGTGTGTGTGCGCGTGTGTGTATGCGTATGTGTGTGTGTTCTTGTGTTTGTGTCTTTGTCTGTGCATGTGCATGTGTGTGTGTCTGCGTGTGTGTGTGTGTGTCTATGGCTGTGTGTTTGTTTCTATTTCTGTGTGTGCTTGTGTTTGTGTCTTTGTGTATGTGTGTGTGCATGCATGTGTGTCTGTGTGTGTGTCTGCGTGTGTGTGTGTCTACGGCTGTGTGTTTGTGTGTATTTCTGTGTGCGCTGGTGTTTGTGTCTTTGTGTATGTGTGTGTGCATGCATGTGTGTCTGTGTGTGTGTCTGCGTGTGTGTGTGTCTACGGCTGTGTGTTTGTGTGTATTTCTGTGTGCGCTGGTGTTTGTGTCTTTGTGTGTTCGTGCATGTGTGTGTGCATGCATGTGTCTGTGTGTGTGTCTGCGTGTGTGTGTCTATGGCTGTGTGTTTGTGTGTATTTCTGTGTGCGCTGGTGTTTGTGTCTTTGTGTGTTCGTGCATGTGTGTGTGCATGCATGTGTGTTTGTGTGTGTCTGCGTGTGTGGGTCTATGGCTGTGTGTTTGTGTGTATTTCTGTGTGCATCTGTGTGTGCGCACTTGTGTTTGTGTCTTGATCTGTTTGTGCATGTGTGTGTGCATGCATGTGTGTTGGTGTGTGTGTCTGTGTGTGTGTCTATGGCTGTGTGTTTGTGTGTATTTCTGTGTGTGCTCGTGTTTGTGTCTGTTCACGTGTGTGTGCATGCATGTGTGTTTGTGTGTGTGTCGGCATGTGTCTCTTTTTTTGTGTATTTGTATGTGTGTTTGTGCATGTGTGTGTCTATGGCTGTGTGTTAATGTGTATTTCTGTGTGCATCTGTGTGTGTGCTTTTGTTTGTGTCTTTGTCTGCATGTGTGTGTGTGCATAAATGTGTGTTTGTGTCCATCTTTGTGTATTTGTATGTGTGTGTGTGTTTGTGTCTGCGTGTGTGTTTGTATTTGTTTGTGTATATGTGTGTCTGTGTGTATGTGTGCGCATTTGTGTTTGTGTATGTCTATGTCTCTGTGTGTGTGGTTGTGCAATTGTCTGTCTGTGTGTGTGTGTGTGTGTGTGTGTGTGTGTGTGTTTGCGGGCGTGCATGCATGCATTTGTGTATGTGTGTGCATGTGTATATATATGTGTGTATCTGTGTGTGACTTTGTCTTTGTGTGTGTGTGTGTTTATTTCTGTGCGTCTGTATGTGTGTATCTGTGTCTGTGCATGTGTGTGTTTGTTTGTATTTGTATGTGTGTGTGCGGTTTGCGCATGTGTGTGTGTGTGTGTGTGTGTGTGTGTGTGTGTGTATATGTATTTGTATGTGTGTGTGTGTGTGTGTGTGTGTGTGTGTGTCTACAGAGCCGCATTAGAAGGATGTGGAACGACACTGTGAGGAAACAGTCCGAGTCTTCCTTCATCTCTGGCGACATCAACAGCACTTCCACTCTCAACCAAGGTGACGCATCAAAACTGACACACACACACACACACACACACACACACACACACTTATAGATATTTTTATGGGCTTTACTCTGCTTTATTAGTGACTACGGCACTGATACAGTTTTATGAGATGCTAATGGTCTAATCCGATTCAATGATCTATGCTAAGCTAAGCTAAATGTGCTACAGTCAGACCTGGAGATCGGCTGAATGGAATTAAACATGGTAAAACTATTATCAGTCAGTCTGCAGCCCTGTTTCCTGTTTTCCTCTTTCTTCATTTCTATAGCAGCTTAACATAGAGGTTTTAGTCAAGTTTTCCTGAATCTCAGTCTTTTGCTCTTCTTCTCCTCCTCTTTTTATGTGCTCCACAGGAATGACGGGCAACTATCTGCTAACTAACCCTCTCCTCAGGCCTCACGACACTAACAACCGCTATAACAACCTTCTGGCTGAAACCATCGTGTGCAGCACTCCTTCTCCTCCTGCTTTCCACTCTCCAGGTGCTCCACGGCCCAATCCCAATACTATCTGATATTCTCACGCATGAATTCGCTTTTCCCTTTAAACAGAGAGTTAGTATGGAGCCAGATCAGTCTCAAAAATAACACATTTACAAAATATAATTCATACATCCACATTTATAAAATCCAATTTGTAAGTTCAAAACACAATTACTAAATACACAAATTCAATTCGTAAATTTGAAATATGATTCTTGAATACACAAACAAATTCGTCAATTCCAAATACGATTCGAATATACATAAATCCAATTCGTTAGTTCGAAACAATTCATAAATAAACAAATCCCAATTCGTAAATTCAAAACACAACTAGAAAATACACACATCTAATTCGTCAATTCGAAATGTGATTCATAAATACGGAAATCCAATTCGTAAGTTCAAAACACGATTTGAAAATACACAAATCCAATTTGTAAATTCAAAACACAATTTATAAATACACAAATCCAATTCGCAAATTCAAAACACGATTCGAAAATAGTCAAATCCAATTCGTAAGCTCAAAACACGATTCGAAAAACTCAAATTCAATTCGTAAGCTCAAAACACAATTCGAAAATACACAAATCCAATTCGTAAATTCAAATCACAATTCGAAAATACACAAATCCAATTCGCAAGCTCAAAACACGATTCAAAAATACACAACTCCAATTCGTAAATTCAAACCACGATTCGAAAATACACATCCAATTCGTAAGTTCAAAACACTATTCATTAATACACAAATCCAATTTGTCAATTCAAAATACGATTTGAATATACACAAATCCCAATTTGTTGATTCAAAATACGATTCAAAAATATACAAATCCAATTCGTAAACTCAAAACACAATTGGAAAATACACAAATCCAATTCGTAAATCCAAACATGATTTGAAAATACACAAATACAATTCGTAAGCTTAAAACACGATTCGAGAATACACAAATCCAATCAATCAATTCAAAACACGATTCGAAAATACATAAATTTAATTTGTAAGTTCGAAAAACGATTCAAAAATACACAAATCCAATTAATTTAGCATTAATTTAATGCAAATTGCATTGTGAATGTATGAATTTTATTTTATATGTATTATTTTTAGACTGATTTTGCTGCATACAAGTACACCTCGAATAAACCCTGGAAATAGCAGTCTATGGGAAATCCGTTTAGCGGATATGATGCACCACAATGATGCTTTATGATTTCAGTATCTGCTGCTGTATCCCTTCTAGACTGTTTATTGAAACAGTGGTTGCCTAGTAAAAAGCACAGTGCACTGCTCTTTACCAATAAAAAGGCAGTGCGTTGCGTTGCACATTTTCAGAACACATTTGGTGTGATCGGCCCTAAAATAACATCGTAAAACTCTCAATGCAATCAAAATGTAAAAATCTTCAAATCCCATCGCATTATGAGGGGTTTACACTGATAGCCTTTCTTTTAAAAGTCATGCGTGCACTGTAAAATCCTTACTGCTGTACAACATTATTTCATTGAATCAAATGAAATCTTCTTGTCATTTGAACTTAACTCAGTCAAAATGACTTAAAATAGTAAATTAAAATTATTTGCTCTTTAAAATAAGTTTAAGTAAACATAAGAACGCTTGTTGTCATTGACTATTTTGCAGTGTGAATTCAGAGTTTCACTCGTTCTGTAGTTTACATGGATTTAGCTTTGTTCAGCGCACAAAGAGAGAGAGAGATCTTTAAAAGCCTGATGTTTGAGTCTGTTCTCAGCAGGCCTGTTTTTTACAGAAAGCGAAGGTTATGATTTGATGTTTTCTGTCAAAACGATGAGCTTCACACGCAGCCTTGATGGCTTCAGATCTGCACACAGCAGAAGAAAACAATGGCAGAGATATTTGATGAAGCAGACGGCGAGTGAAGGCTTCCTGCGCTAAATAATCCAACCTCAGGTCTCTTTGTTTTATTAATCTGAACAGGCTGGATCACAGTGTGCCAATGAATGTTGCGTTACCCAAATAAATCACGTTCATTCACTGCCACTTCAGCTTTGAAACACAACTACATGCTGATCTGGATTCCTCTGACCTGCTAATACTGTATGTAATGCATGTTTTGTAGATGTATATATACACACTGCCTGACAAATGTCTTGTGGTGGATCCCAGTTGTAAGAACAACAAATAATGACTTGGTCATTTGGAGAAGTGTCAGAAGGTGGATTCCTCTGCTGAATCATCTGTTGAGCTGCATCCCAATCATCACCAGGGCGTCCATAGATAATAATAATAACTGATTTCTCTTTGTCCCCTGCTGAGAAATCCAGCTTAAACCAGCCTAGGCTGGTTGGCTGGTTTTAGCTGGTCGACCAGGCTGGTTTTAGAGGGGTTTTGGCCACTTCCAGACTGGTTTCCAGCCATTTCCAGCTTGGTCTTAGCTGGTTAGGCTGAAAAATGACCAGCCAAATCCAGCTAAAACCAGCTTGACCAGCCTGCTTTAAGCTGGACATAGCTGGTTTTGGCTGGACTCCCAGCTTGGCTAGGCTGGTCAAGCTGGTTTTAGCTGGTCATCTCCCAGCCTGACCAGCTAAGACCAGGTCAGCTAACATGTCAACCATCATACTTCAACTATGTATACATGCAGTGTATAAACCAGGTGCTCTGTTCAGTTTAGTGGACGCCATATAATGAAAGAGACTGAGCATGAAGTCTGTGTTTCAGAGCTGACAGCAGCGTGAATGCATGGAGTCAGAAAACACACACAAAGGAAACACTCTGCAGTGCATCTGAGTCTAATTGCATCATTCAGGGCGCAGAGGAAGAGCGTTTTTCTTCTGCATTCGCTCACACCAGCCCATTGTAAACATGCCTGGACCGAGTTCACGCACGCTGTAAATTCACAAAGATTTAAGGCTGGCTTTTCTCCCAGAGTTGCTGCTTTCCAGCTCGTCTGACAGTTTTCTGTCTGCTGGTTCTCCAGACGCTCTACCTGTCTGGATTAAACACAAGCAGATGACCTTGGCTGAGACGCCGTGTGCTTTATTTTGATGCTCGTTCCACATCATGAAAGCACAGGCTCCATATTTCACATCTGAACGCAGTTGTTTTTCACAGCGCTGCTATCTTATGTTTATTTCAGACGTTCTGAACTTTAAATTCATCCCGTGCTCTGCATGAAACCGAGTTCATAAATGTCTGATTTTCTCCACTTCTTTTTTGCTAATTTGTTTTTTTTTTCTTCCTCCGTCTAATAGTGATGATATTAGAGTTTTGTGCTGATGTGTAATTACCACTCGAGATGTTTCTGCATTCTCCAGGCCTGAGCTGAGATTCATTTTAATATTGTTTTTGCTTTGCAGCCGTCATTCATATTTCCTGATGTTCATGTTCAGGACTATACTGAAGTGAAATCATTCAGAGGGGAAATGCTAATCTCATGGATTAAAAACGCTTCATCGCTTACGCATTTCATTAATGACACTGAGTTTTACTGAATCGCTGGCTGAAACGAGCCGAACTTCGACTTTTAGGATCTTGTTGGGCAGCGTTTATGCAGTCATTCTATTTAGAAAACACTGAAGTCATACTGAGGCTCAGAATGCCCTAGCTACCGCCTAACAACCACTCAGATCACCCTAGCAACCATTTAGAACACCCTAGCAACCACTTAGCAATGCCTTGGCAACCCATTAAAACACCCTTGCAACCACCTAGCAAAACCTTTGCAACCACCTAGCAACCACTCAGAACACCCTAGCAACACATTAGCAATCACCTAGAAACCAATTAAAACACTCTAGCAACACCTTGGCAACTGCCTAGCAACCAGTCAGAACGCCCTAGCAACACACTAGCAACCACCTAGCAACCACTCAGAACACCCTAGCAACCACCTAGTAACATCTTCACAACCACCCTAGCAACCACTAAGAACAACCTAGCAACACCTTGGCAACTGCCTAGTAATTACCCAGAACACCCTAGGGACACATTAGCAACCAACTAGCAACCACTCAGAATACCCTAGCAACACCTTTGCAACCACCCTAGCAACCATCTAGCAACCACTAAGAACAACCTAGCAATACCTTGGCAACCGCCTAGCAATCACTCAGAACACCCTAGCAACACATTAGCAACCACCTAGAAACCACTCAGAACACCCTGGCAACCACTAAAACACCCTAGCAACACCTTGGTAACCACCTAGCAACCACCTAGCAATATCATGGCAACCACCTAGCAACTACTCAGAACACCCTAGCAACCATGTAGCAAAACCTTATCAACCACCTATCAACCATTCGGAACACCCAATGTTTTAGCAACCGCCAAGCAACCACATAGCATTACCTTAGCAACTCAGAACATTTTTAAAAAATCGTTTAAATCTTGTAAAAGTTTGGCAAAAAACTTTCAAATTTTAAGCTACTTAAAACTTAAATGTACTTCTAAACTTTAAGCTACTTTAAACTTAACAAAACTTTTAAGCTTTAAGCTACTTTAAACTTAAAACAACTTATTTGACTCGTATTAAATAAGTGATTTTTAAGTCATTTATTTAAGTGTATGCTGACGTTGTAATGCATGATGACGACACTTTTGAGTAGTAAAAACTTACAATAAGTTATAAATTACAATTCAGTGTCCTGCGAGCTTTGGCCAGTTGGATTCAGATCAAAACTTTAACTCAAAGATCAAATCAGAAAAGAGCCGATTCTTAACTTCGCATGGACGTTTTCATGCAAACATTCGTTTATTGGCTTTATTTATTCACGGAGCAAATGCATATGCAAGATCTCGATGTCCTGGGTTCAGGCGTTTGTAATTTTCTATGCTTTTCTGCTTGATTTTCTCTCACTTTTGTGTCTCCTTTGCTGGAAGTGTTTTTAAAAGCCGTTCTCTCACTCTTTTCTTTTGGCTGCTGGGCAGTTCTCAGGTCAGACAGCCTGAGCAGACACACATGATGTGAGTGTTTGCACGTCTGTGATCTGTGACCGGCATCATCTGTGTGTGTATGTATCATGAACACACTTTCGTCTGTGCGCACCTTACTGCATGCATCTGGCCTTCATTTCATAATGCTTGCGTTTACATGTGGCTGAAATCAATGGTGATCTTGTGGGTTTTTGTTTGTTTTTTGCCGACATTCTGTATGTGCTATATATTTTTTAAAACATCAGTGTTTCGAAACACTTAATATATGATTTGTTTTGTGTTTTTTTGTTGTTGTTTTTTTGCTGTCATTTTCTCTGTGTTTTATTGTTAAAACAGCTGTTTTTCGAAGCACTAAACAAAAATTTTTTTTGGTTGTTGTTTGTCGTTATTCTCTCTGTGCTATAGTCTTAAAACGTCAGTATTTAGAAACACTTAACTCTATTTTTTTGCTTGTTGTTGTTTGTCGTTGTTCTCTCTGTGCTATAGTGTTAAACCGCAGTATTTAGAAACACTTAACGTTTATTTTTTTTGTTTGTTGTTTTTTGTCATCATTCCCTCTGTGCTATACTGTTAAAACGTCAGTATTTCGAAACACTTAACGTTTATTTTTTTGTTTGTTGTTTTTTGTCATCATTCCCTCTGTGCTATACTGTTAAAACGTCAGTATTTCGAAACAATTAACGTTTATTTTTTTGTTTGTTGTTTTTTGTCGTCGTTCTCTGTGCTATACTGTTAAAACCTCAGTATTCCGAAACACTTAACGATTATTTTTTTGCTTGTTGTTTTTTGTGGCCGTTCTCTCTGTGCTATACTGTTAAAACATCAGTATTTTGAAACACTTAACGTTTATTTTTTTGTTTGTTGTTTTTTGTCGTCGTTCTCTCTGTGCTATACTGTTAAAAACGTCAGTATTTCGAAACACTTAACGTTTATTTTTTTGTTTGTTGTTTTTTGTCATCATTCCCTCTGTGCTATACTGTTAAAACCTCAGTATTCCGAAACACTTAACGATTATTTTTTTGCTTGTTGTTTTTTGTCGCCGTTCTCTCTGTGCTATACTGTTAAAACGGCGGTATTTTGAAACACTTCGTTTATTTTTTGGCTTGTTGTTTTTTGTCGCCGTTCTCTCTGTGCTATACCGTTAAAACGTCAGTATTTCGAAACACTTAACGTTTATTTTTTTGCTTGTTGTTTTTTTTCGCCGTTCTCTCTGTGCTTTACTGTTAAAACGTCAGTATTTCGAAACACTTAACGTTTATTTTTTTGCTTGTTGTTTTTTTTCGCCGTTCTCTCTGTGCTATACCGTTAAAACGTCAGTATTTCGAAACACTTAACGTTTATTTTTTTGCTTGTTGTTTTTTTTCGCCGTTCTCTCTGTGCTTTACTGTTAAAACCACAGTATTTCGAAACACTTCGTTTATTTCATAATAATTTTTTGTCATCAGTCTCTCTCTGCTATACTAATTAAACGGTTGTATTTCGAAACGCTTAACATTTATTTTTGTTTGTTGTTTTTTACTGTCGTTCTCTGTGCTATACTGTTAAAAACGTCAGTATTTCGAAACACTTAACGTTTATTTTTTTGTTTGTTGTTTTTTGTCGTCGTTCTCTCTGTGCTATACTGTTAAAACGTCAGTATTTCGAAACACTTAACGTTTATTTTTTTGTTTGTTGTTTTTTGTCGTCGTTCTCTCTGTGCTATACTGTTAAAAACGTCAGTATTTCGAAACACTTAACGTTTATTTTTTTGTTTGTTGTTTTTTGTCATCATTCCCTCTGTGCTATACTGTTAAAACCTCAGTATTCCGAAACAATTAACGTTTATTTTTTTGTTTGTTGTTTTTTGTCGTCGTTCTCTCTGTGCTATACTGTTAAAAACGTCAGTATTTCGAAACACTTAACGTTTATTTTTTTGTTTGTTGTTTTTTGTCATCATTCCCTCTGTGCTATACTGTTAAAACCTCAGTATTCCGAAACAATTAACGTTTATTTTTTTGTTTGTTGTTTTTTGTCGCCGTTCTCTCTGTGCTATACTGTTAAAACATCAGTATTTTGAAACACTTAACGATTATTTTTTTGCTTGTTGTTTTTTGTCGCCGTTCTCTCTGTGCTATACCGTTAAAACATCAGTATTTCGAAACACTTAACGTTTATTTTTTTGTTTGTTGTTTTTTCGTCATTCCCTCTCTGCTATAATGTTAAAACGTCAGTATTTCGAAACACTGAATATATGGTTTAAATTATTTATATTGGGTAGTATGCATTTGACTTTTCTCCCTGAATATTTATTTATTATTGTTGTTGTTTTTTTTTTTTTTTGGCATGTAAAAAGCCTGATGAGAAACAAGGGATAGTTCACCCAAAGTTCTAATTATTTTATTCACCCTGGTGTTCTAATCATTTATATGCTTCACTTCGTTTTGAGAAATTATTAAAAATAAGTCAATAAATAAATATAGAATGCGTCCAGCCTGTGTTTGTTCATGTAATAATGCTGAACAGCAACGTGAAGAAGAGGAAAAAAAGTAAAAACTATCAATTGTGTTGTACATTCTGTAGGTGTCCAAGAGAGTTTGCTGAAAAAATCAAACCCAAGTGTAATAGTTTATTAATGGAAAATCCTGACCTTGACCGTCTTCATCCGCGACATTAGCAGTCCAGTTCATGCCTGACTGAAAAAGCACATGAGTGCACTGTTGATAAATAAACACTGATCAAAACACGGCATGAAATACAATGCCTTCAATCTCTCTTCAAAAGCTGTGATAACACATACACTTAATACATAAATACACTTCATTAAACATGTACACTTGAAACTGCAGGTTAATGATGTTTATATCACAACTTGTATTTGATTGCAACTTTAACTTAATTAGATTGTAATGCAATAATGTGCACCTTTTGTAAAGCTGCATGAAGCAATAATTATTATGAAAAGTGCGATACAAATACACTTGAATTGGATTGAAGTAAATGTCACTATTATTAAGAAAAGGAAGAAAGTGCATGGCGTGTAGTTTGTATTGCATTTATTCTGTGCTTTTGAACGAGGTTGAAGACAGACTAATGTGAATCATTTTAGTATTATTTCATTATTAAATGCATTCGATTTAGGTTTGATTTTTCACAAAACACAATAATAAACAAAATGGACCTTTTAAAAAGCTTGATCCTATTTGCTAATAATAATAATAAGTATTATTATTATTGTTGTTATTAATAGTAATATTATTATTTTTTATTTTATTTTAATTTTATTTTTTATTATTTTGAATTGTATTATTACTATTACTATTTATTATTATTATTATTTTATTATTATTATTATTATTAACATTATTATTATTGTATTATTATTATTAATTATTATTATTATTGTATTCTATTATTATTATTTTTGTATTCTATTATTATTATTAATTATTATTATTATTATTATTGTTATTATTGTTATTGTTGTTATTATTATATTGTATTATTATTATTATTATTATTATTATTATTATTGCTGTTATATTATTGTTATTATTATTATTAATAATAATATTATTAATATTAATTTTATTATTATTTAATATTATTATTATTGTTGTTGTTGTATTATTATTATTATTATTATTGTATTATTATTATTATTATTTTTATATTATATTATTGTTATTATTATATTAATATTATTATATTATTATTATTATTGTTGCTTTTATATTATTATTATTATCATCATTGTTGTTGTTGTTGTTATTTGTATTATTATTGTTATTGTTATTGTTATTATTTTTATTGTTGTTATTATTTTTTATTGGTATTATTATTATTATTATTATTATTATTATTATTATTATTATTATTATTATAGGGACAAGCAAGAGCTGGTTGTTGTTGTCATTTGTTTTTATTGTAAATGTTCTCCGAAAAAGAAAGAAAGGCATGCAACATTATAATAACAACAAGATTTAATTTTCACTTTTCACTATAATTTTAATGGTATAAATAACTAGGGATGCTCTGAAATTTAGTTTTCCTCCGTTTTCATTGAAACTATGGTGCACCACACTCGCCGGCAATGTTCAGTGCTGGTTTCACTCTCCTTCTAGCCATAGTCACTGTGCGATGTGAAAGCAGCTTTCAGACAGGGCACAGAAAGCAATGCGCTATGAAACCCATTCATTTCATTTAAATTCACTTCTTCATTCAATATGTTAATTATTATTAAAGTTTTTATAGTTAAATTCACTTCTTTACTCGATATGTTGGTTATTATTACAATTTTAGTTTTCGAATTTTCAATATCGGTTTTGCACATACTTTTAATTTCAGTGCATCTCTATAAACGGCATAATATTGCATGTCAATACATGTTCTGTTCATTTATTTCCAGCAATTTATTCCCGATACTGATTCATTATTGGTTTGTTTTGACTCCCAGGTCAGCGTTCGCTTAGCAACAGTCGTGATGTCAGCACAATGGACACCCTCCCTCTGAACGACAATTTCAACAATAGCTACTCTCTGCGGGAGGACGACTACGAGGACCCGGCCATCAGCTGTCCGACCGGATGCGAAATACGCCTGGACGATGCTGCATTTGAAAAAATGATCATCTCTGAGCTGGTTCACAACAATTTACGGCCTCGCAGAAACCAAAGCAGCTCCAAATGCCAAGCGGACAGAAATTCGAGTCCTCAGGAAAACTGCGCGGACATCGACGAAGGTGTCGGAGACAGAAACGAGTGCGAAAACGCTGAAACCGACACCTCCGCTATGCCCTTGTCCTCCTGCCATCCAGCAATGGAGCTTTTACTTCTTAACCCGAACCACCGGGAGGCCCTTGAGGTCCCGCTTTTACCCCAACGAACTCACTCCCTCATTTACGCCTCCCAGAAAGTCATCAGGCCACACAAAATCAGCAGAGACACTCAACAAGATGAGGGAGAGGTCAAAAAAGAGGATGATTCGTCACCAAATAACAGGGACTCCCTGTACACAAGCATGCCCAATCTGAAAGACTCGGATCTCGTCATCGGAGAGGAGGAGAATTCCCCATGCTCGTCCGCTCAAAGTGAAACCCAGGAACAATGCTGTAAGAGTTTACCAGATCTCGGAGACGGGACTCCAGCGATGTCCTACTATCAGATTAGCGCTAGCCTTTCACTGGAGGCTGAATCTGCCAATGACGGACAAATGCAGCTTATCACCAGCCTCTGAGCCAAGAATGTTCATTCTGCATCTCATATTTTTGTCTGTTCGGCCACAGATGAGAGGACTAGTCCAAGGCACAATCGCGTTTTATTTCTCTCTTCTTGATTTTATTGTTTTGGTTTTGGTTTTTTAATAAATATGGAGTCGACTTTCTGCTCAAACTCTTCGACCGAAGTGGAGCAGAAAGTGTTTGGCGTCATCTACATCCGCCGAAAGCTTTGTACAGTATACTGTTTTAAAAAAAAAGACAAAAGAAACATGCCGATGTCTGACCTTTGTAGAACTCTGAACTAAAACACACACACACACAATCTCCCAAAACATTTTGCAGGTGATTCTGCAAATAGCGAATGAGTGATTGATCTGAGCAAGAGACTGCGATGACAGGAAAATGTAAACGATATCCCAGACTCAGGCCTTATATTTTCTCTATTGCACAAAGAGCTGTTGTACGAGCGGCGACTAAAGAGCATATATTTTGCAGTACTCTCGGTGTAAAGAAAGCCCATAATCACCACATGATGTGCTCAGTTATGGATTTTACCAGGAAAACAAATGTATTTTGCCAATGTGTATGTACAAAAAAGTGAAAAGCTTCCTTATTTTTTTAGCGTAACGGAAGCGGCGTCTTGCACAAATTTGCAGTGAATTGGACTCACCTGTTAAAACGAAAGAACGAAATGCTTTGAATTTGTCAGGGATCTCGTCAACTCGTCATATCTCAGTATTTGGCACTAATTTATTGTACGAAGTATGAAGTGAAAGGGTTTGGAGCTCGAGTGGGTGTGAACAGGAACTCTGTTGATGTTCATTTCAGTCTTTTCTAAGAGCCCACTGTGGTTGCAGATGTACATTCAACTCTTGTTTGATATCGAATAAATGTGACAAATTTTTTATTTCTTGTTTATTTTCTTGTTTCTTTTTTATTACATGTATTTTGTTTTATTCGTCGTGCATGAAAGTGACTTATATTCCAATTATTTTCAACACAAAACAACTATTTACAGCTGAATTCAGAATTATTAGCCCTCCTGTTTATTTCTTTCCCTAATTTCTGTTTAACAGAGAGATTTTAACACATTTCTAATCATAATAGTTTAATTACTCATCTCTAATCGCTGATTTATTTTATCTGGCATGATGACAGCACATAATATTAGACTAGATGTTCTTCAAGACACTAGTATTCAGCTTAAAGTGACATTTAAAGGCTTCACTGGGGTAATTAAGGTAAAGTTAGGGTAATTAGACAAGTTATTGTATACTGATGGTTTGTTTTATAGACTATCGGAAAAAAAATACATAGCTTAAAGAGCAGGGCCGGATTAACCAATGGGCCTTATGGGCACAGGCCCAGGGGCCCATGCGCACTAGGGGCCCCTGCGAGCGGGGAGAAAAAAAAAGACAATTTCGGAGTGTCTTTTTAGGCTAATTACAAATAGTGCATCTAGTTGGAATAAGCTGTTCAGGGTTTACACCCATCGATGCCTGATTTGATAGAGACAAGATGAGTAAAGAGCTGTTTATTTATACAGCCGCAGTGGCGCATCTTGTAAGGCGCGCAGCTTCATGTTTTGACGCTATTGATCATCAACTCGGTTCGAATCCACCATCAGCTGAACTCGTGCTACTTTTTTTTCTCCCCGTTACAGATTGGAAATATATTTATTTTTAACAGGAAGGAAACATTTTTGAAAAATAATGCAAATGTGATATAAAGTCACAAGTGTCTCGTGGGTATTTAATAGTGTTTAGTCTTATTATAGGTGCCTCCCTCTCTGCAAAAACTCTATTGCTCAGACAACTGTATTTCCTCTGAGCAAAAAAATCGCGATCACATATTAATAATATTATTATTATATTTAAATAGCCTTTCTTTCTTTAACTAAACAGAATGCTGTCAATGGTCAAGCGCGGAAACGTCAGTTTTGTAATAACCGGCACTAAACTGAGCAGACTGTAGTGTAACGTTATATCTGTCATAGATTAAAAATGAGTGGACAAGTGGATTTAGCAAACGCGAGAGAAAGAGGAGAGGAGGCATCTTTATTGAGGCATTTTCCATACACACTATCTTTAAACAGACCCGTGATCAGGAGAATGAGGGTACAGAAGAAGACGTTATGGTAACTTTAAATGATGAGTAGCTAGCATTAACCAGGCGGAGAAGGCGTACGGCAGACTGGATTCATCGTGTGAGAGACAGACAGAAAATATATATATATATATATATATATATATATATATATATATATATATATATATATATATATATATATATATATATATAGTTTTATAGTTTTATTAGTATTTTTATTCAATACTTTGAAAAATAAGTTAAATCTTTGTAGACTATAAATACATATGTACTATATATCATTTATTTAATTTGTGGGCAAAAAATTATAGATTCATTTTATTTAAAAATTAATAAATTCTTATTTTTTAAATTCAACTATAGGGGTGCGGCCAGGTAGGGGGCCTTACAAGACAATGTGCCCAGGGGCCCCTGAGGTCTTAATCCGGGCCTGTTAAAGAGGAATAATTTTGACCTTAAAATGGTGTTTAAAAAATTAAAAACTGCTTTTATTCTAGCCGAAATAAAACAAATAAGACTTTCTCCAGAAGAACAAATATTATCAGACATACTGTGAAAATTTCCTTGCTCTGTTAAACATCATTTGGGAAATATTTAGGGAAGAAAAAAAATCAAAGGGGGGCGAATATTTCTGACTTCAACTGTATATTGCAAATGAATCATGAATGTGCACTCTAAAAAATATTGTTATACAAAACAAAAACCAATGACGCAACAGTTTGCATTAATATATTCAAGTTACGACAACATCTAACAAAATGAAGTTCAGACAACAAACTTTATTATGTCAGCTAAATATGTTCCTCTTCAATCAGAGGCATTTTTACATAACAAAAACCTTAAATTTTTAAGTTGAGTACTCAAAAAAAATAAGTTGTTTAAATTTTTTATTTTTTTATTAAAATTGAAAACAAATCCTTTGTTATGTACTTAATCACATGCATATTTTCGAGATTAGAACCTTAAATAAATTAATACATTTTTGTTTGTTTTCAAATTTACTGTTCATGCTTGTAAGAAATACATTTAACAACAACATTTTTGTTTTTATGTAATTTTTTTTGTATTAAACCACAGGTTTTCATTCTTTTACAAAACAAAAACATGTACTGACCCATATTATCATTTTCAAAATTTATAATAACCTCGGTCACACTTTACAATAAGGTTCATTAGTTAATGTTAATTAATGCATTTACTAACATGAACAAACAATGAATAATACATTTAGTACTGTATTTGTTCATGTTAGTTAACGTTAGTTAATGAAAATACAGTAGTTCATTTTTAGTTCATGTTAACTCATGGAGCATTAACTAATGTTAACAAGCATGGACTTGGATGTTATTAATGCATTAGTAAATGTTCAATTATGATTAATAAATGCTGTACAAGTGTTGTTCATGATTAGTTCATGTTAGTAAATGCATTAACTAATGAACCTTATTGTAAAGTGTTACCATAACCTCAGTGTGTGGACTTAAAAATAAAAAACAACTCCATTAGTGTGGAAACATTTCTTTGGGCTGCTACAAGTTAAATATTGTTTTAAAGCAACTGACAGATATATTTACCTTTAAATTAGCCGCATTTTTAAATTTATATAATTAACAATATTTTCATGTTTTGAAAACTTAATAAAAATATTCTGGCAGCTTAAAAGTTTTAATCTAATCAGCGTTTTAAAACGTTTAAGTTACAATAATGTATTAAACCATGTAGTGGTTACAGAGCTCTCGAGTTATTTTATAGAGTGTAAGGAATAAGTGATGGTGGGCCAATGGTGGATGTATTTTTGAACAGGTCACACTTTATAATATGGTTATTTACTAACTTTAACTAATTATGACCAATACTTGTACAGCATTCATTAATCACCGTTCAACATTAACTAATGCATTATTAACATCCAAATGCATGCTTGTTAACATTAGTGAACGCACATCAACTAACAGTGAACAACTGTTAAATGACATGAACAAATACTGTAATGTGTAATGTTCATTGTTTGTTGATGTTAGTAAAGCAACTAACCCACATTAACTAATACAACCTTATTGTAAAATGTTAACTGCAACTTTTCGCTTTAAAGCAAAACAAAATTGTCAATTTTGGCCGGATTTTGTTGGAAATTACATCTTTAGTCAAAAACAAAAGTTGGATCCAAGATTGCTGACTTCAAAATGGCAACCATGGTACTACCCATCTTGAAAAGTTTACCCCCTCACATATACTAATGTGCCACAAACAGGACGTTAATATCACCAACCAATCCCAGTTTATTGAGGTGTATCCATAGAAATGGCCCACCCTGTATAATAAGTGCTCTTTAACTTATAAATGTTACTTGTTGAACATTTGCAATATTGAAACATCATCAATATGAATGTTGTTCGCAGGGCCGGAGTGGGACTCTTTTTCAGCTCTGGAGTTTCAAGCCTCAGACCGGCCCACCTCAGTTCACCACTGACTATATTAAAATAAGGTCATTTCCAATTCAGTTTCTAATTACACTATCACGTCTTTTTTTGAGAAAACAGCTCTTTTAGAACTTCAAATGTTCAACAACCCTTACAGTATTATGTCTTAACAATAAAAATGAAAAAAAAAAATTGTTACTCAGACAAGGACCGAACCCAGGTTGGCCGCGTCATTGTCTATTCGTACTAACCACTGCACCACAACAGCTGTACGGTGAATGGTGACTTATCTAGTTATAGCTGCATCCTGCTCACGAGGCTACGACAAAATAGATAAAAAAGAGCAGAGCTGCGGTAAAATAATGAATAAGAAGGCTGTGGTCAAGTAAATAAATTAATCTTTTTTAAAAAGTGTGACTGCTGAGAGCAACAGATTCTGGAACTAGGGACACCGGCCCTCGCGGCCAAAAAACGGACCGGCCCACCGGGAATTCTCCCGGTCCTCCCGATTAGCCAATCCGAGCCTTACTTGTTCGATTGGGAAGTAATAAAACAGAAATCAAGCATTTTTACAACTATAAAATGTACAATTGTATAAAGTTCCTGAAGATCCAATTAACGGAGCGTCCTTAAAAACTTCTGTCCCAGGTGTGCAACAATGCAACCGTAATAACTTCCGACAAACAACCTGCCCTTAAACACACTTCAGCAGATGAGAGGAATAAAGGCAGCCATAAGCACGCGGCATTCTTTTATCAGCATGTTTTTTAAGACACAACACCGGGGCTTAATGAAAGTCTTAAACACCTTCAGAAAAAAAAAAAACTTTGCTGGATTTCCATGCATATATATTGCCTCATTCGTACAGGGGGGGAAAACAGCCCGTCTCGTCCCATTTCTGTGTAATTATCACCCTTCAGGTGGAGCAGATGGCAAATTAACTGCGGGATGCAAACTGCTGACAATGTTGTCGTCTTATCCATTTTGCATGATGACAGTGTTAGTGTTTTATGCACATCCTGATTACAACAATTTTGACGGCGGGGGGTTGCTGTCAGCGACTCCAGAAGAATGAAATCAGATGAGCGTCTGGGTAAGTTGCGGTTTTAGCCTGTGATATAATCATCAAATGTGCTGTTTGCATTTGAAAAACAGGTTCATTAGGATCACTTTTTAGGCAGTGCACAAGCATTGGTGGTTATTTGGAGAGATAGAAAGAGACTCTGATTTAACTTACCTGAAAAGTTCAACACAGACTCATTGTGAATTTGTACCCCCGTATACATTTCTGGAGAGCATCAATTATGTAGCTAGAGGAACGTATGGCTGTATATTGTCTTTCAAATGAGCACTGAGTGGGGGAGGTTTGACGCTGCTG